GACGTGGGCATCGGGCACCTGGCGGGCATGACGCGCAGCGCGGCCGAGGGCTGCCTGGGCCTGGAGCAGCTCACGCTGCAGGACTGCCAGAAGCTCAGCGACCTCTCGCTCAAGCACCTGGCCCGCGGGCTGGGCCGCCTCCGCCAGCTCAACCTCAGCTTCTGTGGGGGCATCTCGGACGCAGGGCTGCTGCACCTGTCGCACATGAGCAGCCTGCGCAGCCTCAACCTGCGCTCCTGCGACAACATCAGCGACACGGGCATCATGCATCTGGCCATGGGCAGCCTGCGGCTCTCTGGCCTCGACGTCTCCTTCTGCGACAAGGTGGGGGACCAGAGCCTAGCCTATATCGCACAGGGCCTGGACGGGCTGCGCTCCCTCTCCCTCTGCTCCTGCCACATTAGCGACGAGGGCATCAACCGCATGGTGCGGCAGATGCATGGGCTGCGCACCCTCAACATCGGCCAGTGCGTCCGCATCACCGACAAGGGCCTGGAGCTCATCGCCGAACACCTCAGCCAGCTCACGGGCATCGACCTCTACGGCTGCACCCGCATTACCAAGCGGGGCTTGGAGCGCATCACCCAGCTGCCCTGCCTCAAGGTGCTCAACCTGGGACTTTGGGAAATGACTGAGAGCGAGAAGGTCAGGTGAGAGGAGGGGGGTGTCCTGAGACCTCCGTCTCCTCTGGACGGACTCACTGACTGACTGACTGCTGCAACGGAGGAGAGAAAGAGAGAGAGGGGCACGCACAGAGCCATGCTACCCACGTGCCCTGGCGCTGGAGGGAGGAACATAGAGAAAGAGAGTATATCCTCGACCCTTCTGTGCTGCTTACCTACCCTTTATCTGGAGGAGGAGGAGGAGGAGGAGGAGAAGGAAGGGGGGCAGGAGGAGAGAGAGAGAAAAAGCACCTATCCTTTTTCCAGGTCGTGCCTCCAGCTCCACGCTGGGCAGGCAGAGCTTCCCCTTCCCCCACAGCATCCTTCCCTGTGGAAGAGGTAGAAGCCCACACTCTTATGCACTGGGGCTAGAGACACCCCTCTTTATCCCCACTCCCTGATTCCATCCCCTCATGCACTAAGGATGGATAAAGAAAGACCCTTGTTCTGCCATGCATCCAGATTGTTTTTGGTTTATATAAAGGAGAGTGGGAATGGAGATGGGAACAAACAACAGCAGGAAAAGCTTCCTAGCTACACTTACCTGGCCACCCAGTCACCCTGCACTGGGCACAGACACAGCTTTTGGTAAAATAACCATTCCACCTCTGCACTTGCCCCTCCCCGGTCCACTGGGAGTTGTGACAGAAATACTGCTCCCTAGGTACATTGATGATTTTTTTTTTTTTTTTTTAAAAAACCTGTTTTCAATCTCCAGTTCCATGTTATTCTCTGCTGTGGGTGAGTACAACCTCCCACTATCCCACTTCTCCACTGCACTGAGACTAGGTATAGCTACAGCCACCCCTTTTGTCACTATGTTTCCATGTCATGCTGCACTGTGGCTAATGGAAAAGCTTAGGCAATCCATCCTCTCCCCCCGTCTCTCCACTGGAGATGAAGATACCATTTCCTCCCTCTCCTATCTCTGTGGGGACTGGACACGGACCCCAGTCTCTTAAGCCTTCTTGTGCACTGGGGGACACTGAGAGTTACCAGGATTTGTCTTCCCTTTCATCATTCTCTCTTTTCCTTCCCTCCTTGGCAACAGGGATAGACATATCCAGCTACATATCCATTCCTCTTTGGGTTGGGGGTGAGTGGGTAGAAGGGGTGCCTAGCTCCCCTCTAGGGAAGAATCTTGAGGAAGAATCTCCAGCTTCATTTCTGCTTCATTTGAGATACTGTGACCTGTTTTTATTTTGAAATGCATAAAAAAAATTACTGCTACAAAAACAGCCTCTTAATCTCCCATCTATCCCTTGCTTACTTCCTGTAACTGATCCCAGTTTTCCTCACTCATTCTTCTCTTTACAGTATTCGTTTTCTTACATGGTTTTATTTTTAAAGACATTTGAAGTTGCTGTTCTTGTGGATTTTTAAGTACTTTTTTTTCTGCTGAATATATTCTATATATATAAATATATATATGATGTCTGGCTACCTCGTTTTAATTTGTTACTTTTTTTTTTTTCCCCTCCTCAAAAGCCCTGGAATTCTTACAGGAAAGAGATTTTGAGACTGAAACATTTTTGTGCCTAGACTGGAATAATGCCCCTTGGGTTTTTCTTCCCCACCCCCATTTTTTTTTATAACTTTTGTTTTTAAGCTTGCCCTACTGTGTCTCACCTTCACATTCTGGTTGTGCCTCTCCCTCCCTCTTCACTGGGGACCCAAACTGTGCTGCTGTGTTTCCAGCCACAGACATGTAACATGAGAATCCATGCTGAGGATTGGGCTACTGTTAACAGAAATGTGTAAAATGCAAGTTCTTTTTTTAAAGATTATATGTAGAGTTACATGCAAATGCTTTCCCCTCCCATCCCAAATCACCTACAAAAGGTCACTATGCCAGGCTTCCTGTTTGTAGGTGGAGAGGAGCAGAGCTGGCCTGCAGGCCCCGAGGCTGCAATGTGAAGGGGAGGAGACTGAAGTTCATCTGTCTTATCTCTGTTCTGTCAATAAAATGGAGCTGGGTCTTTAGGTTTTTTTTGTTTGTTTGTTTTTTTTTTTTTAATTATTTTAAAGAAGAGTGTTTTGGGTTTTTTTTCTTTTCTTTTTTCTTTTTTTTTCTTTTTTTAAAGAAAAATACCTTGGCTTTTTTTTTTTTTGGCTCATCTGTTCAAAATCTCAAATCCTCCACAGTAACAGGCCAGACCACGGAGTTAACGCAAACCCAGAGACCCCTATGGATTAATTGTACTGTTTGTGAATTTGTATAAAAAAAAAATAACAAAGATCCTCTTAAAACATTTTATATTCTTACAGTAAAAGGTTAAACATATTTATATAATAAAAGAGGAAATATGAAGTATGTTTTTGAAAAAAAAAAAAAAGCTGTATCTGTGTTGTCTGTGCTTTTTAAAGACAGGTATCTGTCTGTCTATCGATCCGTTGGGTTTGGTGAACAGGCCACGAAGCTCACGCTGGGGCTTTGAGGCTGCTTGCTCTTCTTCCAGTGAGTGACAGAGAAGGAGGAGGAGGAAGGAAGAGAGCCTGGTGCCTCCTATGCAGGATGTTGAGTAACATCATCATGAAGAGCTCATAAGGAAGGGGTTGGGTATGATCAGCCTTGTCTGGGAGGGCGCTTACAGCATCTGTGGGGAGAAGCCGAGTTTGGCCACCCATGGGCATGAAGTGCCAGCTCGGTTTGAGGTCAGATAAGCCAAAGAGCTTCAGAGCTCTCCAGCAAGCAAGTATTCAGTGGCAGAGGAAGATATTTGGGAGGTGGGACAGAAGGGCTGTGTTTCTTAATATTTTTAAGCTCTAGATAGATGGCAGAGGTTCTTTTTGTGATTTAAATTGAGGCCCACCCTGGCTAGAAGACCCATTAAATAAAAACATTTCCCAAATATTGCCCTTGTCAGTGCACGAGAACCTGGGAAATCTGAAATGTCTTGGTTGGTTTCTACTGCCCAGGCCAAGATTAAAGAGGAAGCAAAGTGGGAATGTGTTAAAAAAAAAAAAAAAAAGAAAAAAGTTTGAATCATCTAAGGTGTCCTTTGTCCTATACCGTAATCTTTCTCTTCAGCATATGACTTTTAACCCCACCGGGTCCCTTTTTAGCCTTCCACGCTGTGGGTTTTTTATTGTTGCTGGAGACAGAGCTTAAGCGGCGTTGATGGGGCAGTGACAAATCCCGTCTGGCCGCAGCCCGGCGGCGGGGCTCGCCCGCCCCGCTGCCCCCTTCCTGCCTCGAAGGAGGGGGAATGCGAAATGGTGGAAGAAGCCGGAGCCATTGTTCAGGAAAGTTAAAAGAGGAGCTGTCCTTGCTTGCTTGCTCAGTCATGCATACTCAATCTGGCCGGGCCCGGGTCCCTATGGAAAGGAGGAGGGCGATTCTTCCCCTCTTTTTAACATTCCTCTCCAGGCCTGGCTGTATTTAAGCCGCTTTCCTCCGAGCCGAGGAGGAGGGAGGGGGATGGTCTGAAGTTCCTGTGCATTTGCATTTTAAGCACTTGCAGGGCTGAGCAGGCCACTTTGTTCCCCGTGCCCTACCCCGGCCCAGCAACGCTGACTGGGTGCTGCTCCAGGTGGGTCGGATCCCTGCCCCAGGAGGTCCCTTCCGCGGCGGGACGGCCTGGCCCAGCGGCTCAGCCTCCGTCTCCACAAGTATTTTTGGTTGAAGCCGGGCTGGGCACGCTGCTTTGTTGCCAGCTCCAACCACCTCTCCCCTTTTATGTCAGTGCCGCATTTTGACCGGGAAAGGAGTACTCAGCTCTGGCCCCCTTAAAAAGGAACGCTGCCTCCTCCACATCCTAAGGACCTGGACAAAGTGCAAGGTTTCCACTTTGGGGTGCGTATTGCTTTTTTCCCCCCCCTTCTTTCCAAGACTTCCAAGCTTTATGCTGGGAGTCCATCACAAAAGCAGCATTGTTCGCTTTAGGGAAGGCCACCACAATTGGATCTAATTGAGCCTGACACTATATCCATCTTCCTCTACTTGGAGGGAGGTGAGGGGTCTGTCTTGCCTGCGTTAAGAAAAAAAGTTTACAGTAACTTCTTGACCAAAAAAGAGGATGTATGTATGAACGTTATAAACAACAGAAATTCCAGATCAGGTTCCCATTACTGCTGAAAATGTAAATGTTCCTGGAGTAGGCATCAGTTGCAGCCAGGGATGGGGAATGATACATCTCTCATAAGGTAGTCTTGTTACTGCTGGATTTGAGTAAAGATGGCATTTTCTTATTAAGTCCTATGTTCACATGGATAACGGTGGGACATCTATGTCTAAATACATGTGTACTCAAGCTCTGTAAATCAAAACTAGGACAGGATTTATTTTTTTTTCCCTAAAAAAACCCCCAAAAACTTCTTCTCCCTACTTAAAAAAAAAATCAAGCCAAAGGCACTGCCCACATAGCCACATGCTTTTTAAGGGGAACCCAAGCCAAAGGAAGCTCCCGAAACCAAAGTCTCCTTCCTGAAGCCCAGTGTTTAGACACCTTGGGCTTCCCATAGATGGAGCAAGTGCTCCTCATGCCTTCCTCTCATGCTCGAGCATCACAGCACCTCCTTGGGCATGGACATAGGCCTCCCACTCCAGCAAGGCCAGGGTTGGGGGAATGCATATGTTTGCTAGAAACAAGAAGGGTTTCTTAAATAATCCATTGCCAACAACCATAAACCACTTATCACATGACTTCTCAAGGTAACAAGGAAACTTAATTTTCATTCGTCAGTATGAACTCCTGAATTTTTGAACATGACTCAGTTGGCAACTGTGGTAGAAAACCATAACAAAAAAACCCCACTGTTTGGAAGCGAGCTGGAAGTCTCGGGCCTGTGCCAGCGAGCCCACGCTGCCCCAGCAGCAGCTGTGGTGCCAACCTTCACCGCTGCGCCCGGCAAAAGCACTCCAGCAGGGTCCCCTGCTACAGCTGTGTGAGCCGGGGCACAGACAGGGGAGGATGAACCATGGACCTGCTTTATGGACCAGGGGCTGTGGGGGACAGAGGGGCCACTTACAGGAGGTGGCAGCAGAAAGCAGAGCAGAAGTGATGTGAAGTAGGGATGAAGAGACTAGGAAGGAGATGAGACAGTCGGAGACCAAAGGGCAGCAGCGAGGGACCCCAGAGCTCACAAGCTGCAGCAGTCGTGTTTGGGGGGGTGTGGGGGTGTGTCCTGGGCTGCTGCAGCAGCAGCTCCCCTGGCCAGAGAAGGTGGCTGGCTCCTCTCCCTGGGAGTCAGGGAAGAAAAGGAGAGTCCACCTGGGTCCTACTGCCCTTGGACTAGTATACGGGAGGTCTGTGCATGACAGATTTATACATTTTATACCTTCCCACCCCATGCTGCGGGTTCAACTGAATCAGTTTGTCATGGTGATTCTGGGGTCCTTTGTTTCCCCAATAATAAATTACGGGGTCACGGGGCAGCTGTCACGCAAACCGCCTGGGGCCTGTGCTAGGACGAGAGGTGATCTCTGTGCTAGATGGTATAGAGCTGAGCGCTGAACCTGCCCTTTGGAGGTCAGAGAAGAGTTAAAATGAGAGCTGGGTGGCCAAGACACCCAAAGTTTTTGGAACCAAAGCTGGAAGTTAGCACAGGCTGCCATTAACAGCTCAAGGGTAGGTCCCTCCGATCTGGCA